ATGAGGGTGGTGAAGGGCTGTCATACACAAGGTCTGGACTACTGGGCAGCCAGCAGCTCTCAGTGGGCAGGGCTTGGTACCCTCACACAGTGCCCTTTCCCGCCCAAGAGCCTAGAGCTCTGCCTTTCCCCCAACCCCTGCCCAGGCGCAGATGGGAGAGCTGAGGCTGGGAGTGGAAGCCGTGTGCCTGGTCCCTCTGGGTGCCATACCGAATCCTGTGCCCACAGGTGGTGAGCTTCAGCAGCCTGCGGGCAGATGCCTCGGCGCCTTGGATGGCGCTGTGTGTGCTCTGGTGCTCAGTGACCCAGGCCCTCCTGCTGCCTGTATTCCTCTGGGCCTGCGACCGCTACCGCGCCGACCTCAAGGCGGTCTGGGAAAAGTGTGTAGCCCTCATGGCCAACGATGAGGACTTGGACGATGGTGAGGATGCCCTGAGAGTAGCCCCCAGGGAGAGGGGTGTCTGGATGAGGTCACTAGGGTCAGGATAACAGCTGTCAGTGACCACCCCATGCACTGAGGTTACCCCATTCTCAACTACCGGATACCCCCGGCCTCACCCCCAAATGTGCTTGAGCCCCTAAGTGACCTAAGTATCCCATGGAGCATTCTCCTGTTCAGCGTGGCTGACCTGGGCAGTAACCGTGGACACCAGACTAAATGTGTCCCACCAAGCTTATGGCAGCTCTATGGCTCCTGTAGACCCAGGTCCTGTCTCCCCCCAGCAATGATGATGTTACCCCAGACTGAGCCCTTATATACCACTCACTGTCACACCCTTGTGTGCATTTAGTGACCCCAAAGCTTGAGAGGTAACAGGTCCTGCCCCTATAGAGGAAACACCCCTTGTGACCTTCCCAGATGCACAGCAAAAAGGTGACAGGATTTAAAGTCCTTCCCTTTCCCATAGCCAGCCCTCTGCCCTGTGTGTGTATGGGGCGATCCCCAGGAATCCCTGAGTTTCCATGGCCCTAAGTTTCTGTCCCACCCTGCAGATACCAGCCTGGAGGGTGGCATGCCCCCGGACCTGGTGCTGGAGCGCTCCCTGGACTACAGCTATGGAGGCGACTTTGTGGCCCTGGATAGGATAGCCAAGTACGAGCTCTCTGCTCTGGAGGGGGGCCTGCCCCAGTTCTACCCACCGCGGCCGCTGCACGAGGACAAGAAGCAGTACCTGCAGGTAGGGACAGGGCTGGGCTCCAGACCGAACATGTGGTGGCGGGATCCTGACTGCCCCAAGGCCTCTCCTCTGAGTCCACCTCAGGCCTGCCACAGTTCCAGGGGGTGGCTTTCATTCTCCCAGGATCAGCTGGCCCCAGGTCACAGCACCTGTGCAGGTGGGTCCAGGAGGGGCACCCCACCCCGTCTCCATGTTCCCTTATGCCTGGGAGAGTGGTCCACCTGATGCCCAACACTCGAGTTAAGGGACCTTTTTCCCAACCTACCCAAACTACAGACGACACCAGCAAGGCCGGAAGAGACTGTCACTTGTCCAAATCTCACAGCTCCAAACCAGGGTACCTGGGCCCAGGCCTGGCCCCTGACCCACACACCAGCAGCTCTGCCCAGTGTAGGAAAGCTTCGGTCCCTTTTATGGGAGGACAACCCAGTTAACCCCGCCGTTCCCGGCAGGTCCCGCCCACGCGACGCCTTTCCCACGATGACGCGGACGTGTGGGCCGCTGTCCCCATGCCCGCGTTCCTGCCGCGTTGGGGCTCCGGTGAGGACCTGGCCGCTCTGGTGCTGCCCGCCGGGTCCGACCGGCGTCGCTGCAGCTTGCTGGCCTTTGCGGAGGACGTGCCCCCGTTCGGTCCGCGCCACCGCTCGGCCGAGAGCTTGCTGTCGCTGCGGTCCCCGGCCCCGGGCCCGCGCCGCGCCCATGACTCGCCCCCCGGCAGCCCGCGCCGCCGCCCCGGGCCCGGCGCCCGCTCCGCCTCGACCTCGCTGCTGCCCGACACCTTCGCGCTGACCGCCTTCGAGCGCGAGCCGCAGGCCCTACGCCGTCCGCCGGCTCCGCCGGGGCCCTTCTCGGTGTGCGCCGGCGCCTCCACCCCGGCCGGCGGGGACGCGGCGCCCCCTGCAGGCGGCGGCGGGCCACGGAGCCCTGGGCTGCGCCCGGCCGCGCCCTTGCGCCCCGGGCCCCTGCGGGCCGGCCTGAGCGCGTCGTGGGGCGACCCCGGGAGCCTGCGCGCAGTAGGCGGCGCGGGGAGCACCAGCAGCTTCCTGGGCTCGCCCTCCGAGTCGTCGGGCTACGTCACCCTGGGCTCGCTGGGCTCGGCGTCCTAGGCCCCGCAGGGGCCTCCCTCACGCACCCGGCGGCCCCGGGGGGCCTGCGGGCGCAAAGCACCAAAGATGCCACGCCGGCCCAGCCCATGCAAGGGTCTAGGCCCCTCTGGGATGACGACTGCCCTGGGCACAGCATCTCGGGATAGAGGAAGGCGGGACTTAGGTAAAGGCAGGCTCTGCAGCCCTGGGGAAGCAGGGAGCCGGGGACAGGGCCATCCCTGGTCGGAACAAAGCCCTGCCCTGCAGCATGAGAGGCCCTGGACTGCTACGGGCTCTCCACTCTGCACTCTGTCACCTCAGGGGGTGGGTGGGGTACAGAGGGTCTCTAAGCACAGGGCTTTCAGAGCCAAAACAACCTCTCTGAGCAATTGTCCTTGCTGACCTGTTCTGCCTCTGTTTCCCCATCTGTGATGAGCAGGTGACCATATTAACTCTCAGGACTGTTTGGAGAAGTCTCCTGGTCCATGTGTACTGGCCACTGAGTGGACAGGGCACGAGAGCCAGTCTAGGGCCCTCCATGGCTCCTTTGTGGATGTCAGCCTTAAGTGTGTGGCCTAGTGTGGGCCGCAGGCCTGAGGCTTCCCACTGTCAGTGCCCCTGACCCCCGTGGGAATTCACTCCCACCCCAGCAAAAGCACAACACTTGCACCATCACCAGTGGCAGCCCACCCACCTTGACCTCCATTAGCGTCTGCACCCTCATTACTCTACCGTTGTGGCCTCTCCCCACCACATTGGCCACCTCTGTGACCCCAACATGAAGGTCGTGGGTACATGGTGGAGAAGACAGAAGCAAAGGGGGAGTAGGCTAGTCCCTGTCCCGTTTCATCTTCTACCCTTGCAGGTCTGGCTAGAAAGGGATCCTAGTTTAGAGGTCTCCCAGGTTCTTGGCTTAAGGCCTGGTCCCTGGCAAGTGTCCTCCCTCATCCTGTGGGCAGGGCCTTCCTCCCTCTCTCTCCTGGGGAGACACCCTGCAGGCCTGGGCTTTGCCATGGAGCCTGGCAGGGACCTACTGGGTCTTCTTAGAGTCAGGCTAAGGAGAGGTCTATAAATAGCTGTGACCTCGAGCAGGGGGACAGGCAAATGCAGAGGCTGTCTCATCCTGGCCCCTGCCTCCATGCAGTGGCCTCAAAACATGAAGACCTGAAGTGGATTCCAGGCCAGTATGGAGCCTGCCTACACCGTGTGCCCTCCTGCTCTGCAACCTGCAGTTGCAGCACTGGCGTTGTGCTCAGGGGACTCAGCCCATTCCTTGCCCTCTAGACAAGGTCCCAGCCCCCAAAAAAGGCCTCTGGGAGGGACACGGGTTGGGGACTGCCTGACTTGTCTCTGCTCAGGAGGCCACTCAGTCTCTGGCTATGGGGTAGTGGGATGAGCTGGCCACAGATGAGCAAGGCAGGTGACTGCATCCAGCATGATGAGAGGGGCCACCTCTGGCCAGTGTTGCTGTGCCTTCGAGGCCCAACATGTCATGTGGGGTCAGAGGTCATCAGCTAGCCACTGTTCCCCTTCAGGCTGGATCATTTGTCACTTTGGGTTTTCACTCTTATTTCATATCCAACACAGTACTTGCAAGGGGATACAGTACCCCAAAGTCCCTCCAGTCCCAATTTTTACAAAAAAAGGAGGGCCCCAAGCAGAGGACCCTGGTGTGTGGGGCTTCCTCCCATACTTTGTGCAGACTCCAGACCTATTTGCTGCATTGATACACAGCTTGACCCTGGGCTCACCTGGGAGGAAGCTCCATCTTTTTACCACCACCCAGCCCAGAGTCAGGGATCCGTTTGTAGTTTTTTGACAACTGAGCACTTCTGTACCGAATCCAATAAAAAACTTCAGATGATTTGCACCCGGCATTCCTAGGCTGGTTTCATGGAAACACCCTTCTAGAATCTAAGGGCACCATGGGCCAGCTGTCTGCCTCTGGGTTCTGAATTCCTCAGCTATCACGCCATTTCTCTGAGTCGAGTTTTTGTTTTCTACCCAACTGCAAGCGGCCCCACCCCGTGAGAGGCCTGGAGCAGCAAAAGGGACACCAAAAGCCCTAATAGGAGAATCTCTAGAAGTGTAGATGGCAGTCCCTGCCTTGGGGATGGCTTCAGGGGTCGGTAGCCCCTGTGAGCTGATTCAGAAAAGCGAGGACTATTGGGCAGTTGGACCGGACCTGGGGGCACCAGGCCTGTTGTGCCTGCTGATCGGTTCGTTGGCCGGAGTAGGAATTTGGAGGCCGCGCCCTGGGTCCGCAGTGCATGGTCGCCACCTGGTGGCCTGCAGGGCGATTAGTGCGGCCGCAGACGCTCGCCCCCGTCCCCGACACCGGTTCCGAACACCTGGAGTAGCAGGACGCCGAGATCCGAGGCAGCCCCGGAGAACCCACTAGGGAGGGTGGGAGAGCCAGGCCTCCATCTCCCCGCTGTCTGACTAGGACAGGTTTAGAACATGGGCAAGGCAAGGGCAACCCAAAACAAGAAATACTTTATAGTTATTTGTCGTTCAAAACGATAAATCTAATAGGCATTGTGGGAGGAAACTTGAACCTTCCTGATCTCTTTATGCCCATTTCACAGATTCGTAACATTTATTCTGAATTTCAAGCTGGTGGGAGGAAGTGCCAAGATATCTTCCGAGCGCTGCGCGGGATCTCCATCCCCCCAACTCCAGGAGGCCTCTCGCAGGCCAGCATCCCCCGGGCTAGAGTCCGAGCACAGTAAGGACCTAATTTTCGGACGAATAAACAGGCGCAGAGAGCTCCGAGGGCTGTTGAAGATCCTGAGCTCCCTGGCGGCCCAGAGGTCTGGAGGCGGGGGCTCCCCGACCGGGGCCGGGGGTCTTTTCCGAGTCCCAGGGGTGAACTCTCGCAGGATAGGAACTCGGCTTCGCTCTAGCAGCCTTCAAACTGGCGCGGCGGTGCACGGGGACTTCCCGGAGCCGTGCGGGCGGAGCATCTTTCGGGGTTGGGCAGCTCCGCCGGAGCTTCTGGAGAGGCGGGGCGTGCCGCGGGCTGAGGGGGTGGGGATCCTTGGAAGCCCTGAGGGCCCATGGTGGGGGTGGGCTTGGGGCCCCTCGCCGCCGGGGCGGGGAGGGTCCCGGCGCGCTTTGTGTCGGTGGGAACGGGGCGTCTCCGGCTGGCTGAATGGGCCGGGGCGGGGCAGCAATTCTCCTCGCTGCGAGGGGTCCGCTCTGCGCTGCTGCTGACGGCGACCTTCCCACCGTAGTTCGGCTGCTGGGCGGGGGTGGGCTCCCTCCGGGAGCCCTGGGAAAAGGGCGCAGGCCGGGACACCCCCTCCCAGCCCTACTGGAGGGTGGGCGGGAGAAGAGAGCGGGTTCTGCCTGAGTAGGTGGGGCTGGACTGATGGATGGATTATGCCTAGACGCGCAGACCCGGGTCTCCCCGTGGTTCTGTGTATTTCTCCGCGTCTGCGGGCACGCAGCACCTTTTCGACCACCCCGCCCCTGGACCAGAACTGACTGGGGTCCCAGCCATTATCGCGGGCGCTCTGAAAACAGTCTCTGCGTCCCCAAGCCAGACAGGGGCCCCCTTGTGTCCGAGACCGCATTGGGCCTCACCAGGGCCGCCACACGCGGAGCTCCGCTCCCGGGCTCTCTGCACAACGGCGAGATGCTGGCTGCAGCGCCTGGTCGCTGGAGGTCGGACCGGGGAGCCCTTCAGGGAAGAGGAGCCGGGGTGGCGGAGACCGCGAGCCGCCGGAGACCGGAACCGGGGCCCAGACGGCGGGAGCGCAGAAGCCGCGCGTTCCGGGAGTCTCCGGGCAGGGATCGGCGCTGTCCATGGTGCTGCCGCCCGCGCGCTCGGGCACCAGGGGGCAGCGTGGGCCGCTGCCGCCCTCCTCTCCGCGCCGCAGGAACTGGCTAACGCCCGGCAGGCAGCGGCGGAAGCCCGACGGGTATTCGGCTCCGCTGGGGACTGGCCAGAGTCCTGCGGAGTGGGGAGCAGACGGCAGAAATGTGGAGGGGAGGGCAGAATAGGAGCGGGGAGGAGGAAAGAAGAGGTGGGGGGGGCAACCCAAACACCGCCCCTGAGTCCAGACCTTGGCCCACCCACATTGCGACTCTAAGCCTGCGAGGCCCGTGCTGCCTCTCCCCTCCAGCGATTTGGAGTCCCTTCCTCACCCAGCTGCCCACTGCCCTGAGCGTTCTCCTCCATCCGTCCCCTCCTTTATCTGACCATTGTCGCATCTGTTGCTCTGACCCCACAAGGCACCCCACGCCAGCTCCTCACCCCTCACCCTCCAGGGCCTCCCTCTACCTTGCACCGAGTTCTGAAGGCTTTTCATGTACTTGACACTCAGCTCCAGTATGTCCGCCTTCTCCAACTTGCGTTTCTGGATCTGCAGTCCATGGAAAGGGCTCTTTACCTGGGCAACCCGGCTTGGAGGGGACGAGGTTGGGAGCTGTATCACCCCCCCACACACACACTTCTACCACGTCCCCACGTCTTACCTGGTGAGAGTAGTGTTTCTCCAGCAACGATTTCAGCTGCTCCAACGACACGTTGATGCGCGCCCGTCGTTTCTTCTCCATCAGGGGCTTGGAGATCTGCGGAGGGGTGGCATTAGCAGGCAGGGGCGAGGCCCTGTCACCCTCTGCCCCTCCCAGCCTGGCAGGGCCCCTATCCCCAAGTCCCTCGGCCCCAGACCTTGCGGAAGCTGCCTGCAGAGCCGGCTAAGCTGCCCTGGGTCCTGGGCTCAGTGCCCATGTTGTAGTATCTACGCCCTGGAGGGCTAGTCATTGCCTTTATAGGGGCCTCTCGTTTACATGTCAATAAGATGCTCCAGGACTCGTGGAACCTCGAGGGGAGGGAACAAGAGGGGGATGCATCAGGAAATTCCCCACCTCCCTCTGCCTGAGCCCCTTCCATAGCCCTTGTGTCAGCCTCCCATCCAGGATCCCTCCTCCCTTCCAGGGATCCTCTTTACCCTCTTTATCCTTCTCACCCTCACCACTTCCTGAGTCTGGAGTCCCCTCACATGCCTACCCCCTCCCTGCCCTATCGCATCCCAGTGTCCCTAGGTTCTGGGCCTCACCACCAGGCCCACTTGACTAGTCCTTGCTGCCCCTGCCTTGAAGCATTCAGGGCTGGGGGACCCACTAGGGGAACACCAGGGGCCCAGCTGTCTTCGAGACTGAATAATGACTGTGACAGAGTGCTGGGCCTCCACGGGCTGATGAAGATGCGCAGGCGGAAGCACCCGCCGGTGAGGCCTTTTTGCAGGCTTCACGCTCTGGCCTCACTGGCAACGCTGCATTAGTTGCCCTAATGTCGGGACAATGCAGCGATTTTCTGCCTGTGACTGCTCAAAGCTGGGCCCAGGCAGGGCCTGTAGGGGCCACGCAGCAACATGTGTACCATTAAAGCATGCAGCCCGCCCGCGGGGCCACAGCCAGCTTCCTTCTGGCTGGGGCCTCAGGACTGGAGCATTCCTGTGCCATGGTGTAGGCTCACATGCCCTCGGACCTTGTTGGGTGGGACGCAACCCACGTTCTTCCAGCGGTGAGGGCAAGCTGCAGGCAGCTTAAACCCCGGGTGAGTCACTAAGAGTCGTGGCCAGAGGAGCTGCAGGTTCTGGGAGCAGGCAGAGAAGGTCCTCCCCTACCCCAGACCTGGTTTTCCAGGCTGTACAGCTCAGGCTCTGAGAACACTTTCTTTCACAGGGAAGGCTTGGGAGCTTATTCCCACCCGCATTCTCTGAGTTCCAGCAAATGGGAGGTGGGGGTGGGGAAGACCACTGATCTCAGGGGAAAGCACCATTCTACGCTTTTCGAGGTTGGGGTGCCCCAACCCTTTTTCATTACCCAGGCTGTGGTTTGACACTCAGGGAGCTCAGGAGAGGAAGCACCTGCCCAGGATGGGGCTACAGCACTACTCCAGGGCAGGCCCGGGTTGGGCCTCAGGAGTGACTCCAGTAGGTGTGAGCGACAGGAAGGCTGAAGTCCGGCGGAGTCCCTGGGTTCAAAGTCGGACATCTCCCTGTACTGGGCTCTCGTAGCTTCAGTTTTGGGGTTTGTAAAATGGTGTTCCGGTACAGTGCTGGCCCAACCCCGCTGCTCGAGAGGACAAGGGGAAGTCTCATGGACACAAAAGTTCTGCAGTTGAGACCTACGACATAGGAATGAACAAATCCCAACGTGAGAAGGGAAATCACTGAGTCCTGCGTGGGCGGCCCCAGCTCCCTCGAGGCCCCCCTGGGCCCTGCCCAGGCAGCGTTCCCAGGCGCCAAGGTGCGTGGAGAATTGCGCCCCGCCTTTCTTTCAGGCTGGGGCTGCAGCCACAGGGGGTCCTGGTGCTTTTCTGCCCTGGGCCGGCCGTAGGGTCTGAGGGCCAGATCCGGGCCGGGCTGGGCCGGACGGGGGACGGGCGGCAGGGCCGGGGACGGACGACCGGCGCTGGCACGCGCCGGACAGCTTTGAAGCGCCGGGCCTGGCGGGGCCCCAGCGGCCTCCGTGCGCTCGCTCAGCTTGGGGCTGTGGCGGCGCGGTACAAAGGCACCGTGGGGAGGGCGGGCTGCGAGGCCGGGCACAAAGGGGGCAGCCGGGTGTTAAGGGCATTGTGCCGGCCCCACAAAGCCGTCCCCGCGCCCGCCCCCTCGGAGCTAAACTCCGGGCGCCCCGCCGCGCGCGCGGGCTCCCAGCTGCTGCACATCTGCACGGAGGCCGGGCGCGCGCCTCGCTCTGGCGGTCTCCCTCATCCCCGCCCCGGCTCTGGAGCAGCGCGGGCAGCGGGGCAATTTGTCCTCTAATTAAGATCCCTCCCCAGAAACCACCGCCCGTGCCTTTCAACTCCAGAGCATTAGCAAGGCAATGGCCCTGGGAGCTGCTCTCGAGTCCCGCAGCGAGGACGCCGGCCCGCCTTCTCTTCAGAGTTAGGGTCGCCATAAAGCGGCCTGCGGGCGGTCTGCACCCGCTCCCCGGCACCCACTACTCCTCTGGAGGCGGTGCCCTGGGATCCTAGCCGCGCTGGGTGGGGCCGCTCACTTGGGTGGCTCAGTGTTTCTTAAGCAGTGGAAAATTGACCGCAAAATGCGCTAATTCGCAATGTTCTGCTTGGGCTGCAGGAAAGGCCGGCGAGGCGGCCCGGGCGGGATTCTCGGCCTCCGAGCACCGCCCCCTCCCACTTAACAGGCCTCCGCTGCCCCCACCCCCACCCCGGCACCGCCCACCATGCCCCTCCCCCTTCGGCAAGTCCTCTGGCCAGGGTCTCTCCACCTACGCTGATTCCTCCCCTTCCCGGGCTTCTCCTGTTCCTGCAGCGGCTCCCCCGCTTCCAACAGCCCCCTTGGCCCGCTCCTTGCCTCAAGCCCTCTGAGGGTCGCGTGGGGCTCAAGGCTGAAAGGGATCCGCGCAAGTTCCATCCTCACTTCTCCCAGTGTTCGGAGACAGCTTCCTCCCCCTCCTCCCATCGCGACGTTACCCCCAACCCGGCTCCTTCTGGGCATCCAATTCCCCCATTAAGTTAAAAACAGATCTTCGCGTCAAAGTCATTGCAAAAGGTGGTGGCTAAGTCTCCACCAAGCTCCTTCCTGTAGATGCGACCCACTTCCACCCACTCCCACCCCCACCCCGTTTGCAAGTCCTGCCTCTGGGCATCCTGCGCAGGCTCTCCCGCAGGTCCGATCCAAGAGGCGCGCTGAGGCGAGGGAGGCGCTTTCCGCGGGTGGAGAAGTGCTAGCAACCTCGCCCCCTGTCCTCCGAGAGCATGCAGGACGAAGCGTCCTCGGGTCGGCGGCACGGAGCATGAACCAACTTAGAAGCCAGGCTTATGCAAACTGGGATGTAGGCCACCGACTCCCATTCCATCTTTAGCATCTGGGGGCCCCAGGGGACCTGGAAAGGAACCCAATTTCGGGCAGAGCGCTAGGGAGACCCAGACGGCCCTCTGCTCACTTAAGAAATTTCTTCTATAATCTGGAGGGTCCTGGGGGCTTCCAGGAGTACTCGGGGCCCTCTGCTTTCTCATGCTGGGGAATCTAAGGCAAACGGTAACCTGTGCCTTTGTCCTCCCATCCCCCGTTTGGTTTTCTTGACTTCAGCAAAAGAAGGGACTTCACAAAACAAGTTCGGTGTGGTGACAAGGTCGGGAGGGGTTTGCAGGCCCCAGAACAAGAGGCCTACTGGAAGTCCCACCCTACTAGCCTACGGGCTCTCCCAGGAACAGCAGCAGGGTGCAGCCCCTCTCCCCTAGGCAGGAACCCCTTCCTTCCTGCAGCCCTCAGGCTTTTAAAGCCATACTAACTGCTAAGTGCTGCCAAGGCTCTGCTTGTGCCTGGTGGAAGAAAGGCACTGTGCCCCTTCACAGATGCATTTCAAAGTGGAATGAAGTGATTGCTCCGTGTAATTAACTATTGGGACAGAGCAAAAGCACTGAAATGACTCAGCCAATTGTCTCCAGATGGAGTTGGAGAGGCTGCGATTGTTTAAGTCTCTTTAGCTATGTTGGGACTCCGAATAGCCCGGCAGCCAAGGGCCCTCCTGGGGACAAAAGCTGGGACCCCAGTGAGTGCATCAACAGTGAACCGGGCTGGCCCAGCTCGGGAAGAGTGAATTCAGAGAGACCCCCATTGTCCCAGCCTTTTGTGTTTCTCCCCAGCTGGCTCTAATCTTTAAATATTTACCCGGCCCCTTTGTACACGTATGAGTTATGCATTTTAGGCTGATGTGCTCATAAATTACACATCATTTACCCATTGCCAGACTGGAGAGAGGAGGCTCTCATGCTTCAAGCCTGGAATAGCCAGAGGAAGGGAAAGAAAACTTTTAGCGGACCAGAGTTCCCTGCCAGGGAGAGCTGAGGCCACACTAAGCCGGCCCCTCTTGGCCTCCCTGTGGGAAATGGATGGGGCACAGGGCTGTGAGTGACAGGAGGCCCCGGAGGCCACCCTAACAACTGACGGGGAGGGGGAAAGAGGCGGGGTTCTCAAACTTTTTCCTACTGGGTGTTGAGCTTGGTCAGGAGCAAACTTTC